CCTCCTCCAAAATTTATGCTGAAATTTAATACCCAATGTGGCAGTATTGAGAGGTGGGGCCTTTGAGAGGTGGGGCAGAGCCCTCATGAACAGGTTAATCCATTCATGGATTGATGGGTTATCACTGGAGTGGGACTGGTGGCTTTTTAAGAACAGGAAGAAAGACCTGAGCTAGCACACTCAGCCCCTTCGAGAGGTGATACCCTGTGCCACCTCGGGACTCTGCAGAGAGTCCCCACCAGCGAGAAGGCCCTCCCAGATGCAGGTCCTCGAGCTTGGACTTCTCAGCCTTCATGACTGTAAGAAATAAATTTCAGTTCTTATAAATCACCCTGTTTCATGTATTCTGTTATAAGCAAAAAGAAAATGGACTAAGACACACATTTTTACCGTGTCTTCTACTGGCATTTTTTCTGCAGTGTTAAACATCATGTTCAATGTCACTATTGCAGGTTGAGTATCTCTTATCCAAAATGCTTGGGACCGGAGATGTGGAATTTTCCGCTGGGGCATCATGTCGGTGCTCACCAAGTTTCAGATTTTGGAGCATTTCAAACTTTCAGATTAGGGATGTTCAACTTGTAACTGCTTCTCAAACCTCAGTGTTCATAAGACTCACTTGGGGACCTTGTTAAAATGCTGATTCTGACCCAGGAGATCTGCGTGGGGCAGAGATTCTGCACATCTGACAGGCTCCAGGTGTTGCCCTGGGGACCACCCTGGGAGCAGCCAGGCTGCAGTGGGAAGTGGATGAAGTTTGGAAACAGATGAACTTGAGTCGTCCACTTACAAGCTGAGTGGCCTTGGGAAAAGTAATTCACTGCTCTGAGCCAGTTTCCCCATCAGGGAAAATGGAAATAACAGTGATGCCTGCTTTGCAAGACCGTAGTGAGTAGGTGAGCTAGCAGCGCAATTCCTGGAAGATAACAGACCCCGAAGTCCATCCCACACCCATATTCAGTGGTAAGCTGAATAGTGTTCCCCGAAGATGCTCAACATCCTAACCACTGGAACTTGTGAATATGTTACCTTATATGGCAAAAGGGGAATCTGCAGATATGATTAAGCTAAAGATCTTGAGATCGAGGGATTATCCTGGGTTATCAGAATGTGCCCAATATAAACACACGGGTTTTCCTAAGACGACAGCAGAAGAGGCAGAGAAATAGAAAGAATATGAGAGGATGGAGCAGAGGTCAGAGAGGAGGGAGGGTGCAAGGCTGCTGGCTGTGAAGATGGAAGAAGTGGCACGAGACAAGAAATGTAGGCAGCCTCTAGGAGGAACGCGCCTCAGCAGACTTATGCTGGACTTCTGACCTCCAGACTGAGAAGAGAATAAATATGTGTTGTCTGAAGTCACTAAGTTTGTGGTAACTTTTTACAGCAACGATAGGAAACGAACACACCATTTATTAGAATAACACCATTGCAAACTCGCCTCCCTTTCCAGAACACAGGAGTTCTTGAGGTTATCAACAGCTTAAACTGAATCACGTCATAGTCGCCCAAGCAGAGGTCAATACGTAAAGAACTCTTTGGAGAGACTCTGTATCAAGGGAAGAATTCATCCCGTATCATCTGTTTTGTGTGGTTATGGCAATTTCTAATAAACAAGGATGGACGTGTGTGCGTTTTTAACAAAACTGTGCTAGAGGCTCCAAGGAATCTCTGGCTCCCTGATTGTACAATCCCATTCCAATCTGTCAGCTTTACACATAATTGTTGAAATCTAACAAGGCTCCTGGGGACATCAGTGGGTCGATGCCTCAATGTCAGTGGGACTGACAAGAGTAACCCTGGGCTTAAGAGGAAAGGATGAAAATCAATGGTCTCGGTATTTGTACAGATCTTTATTTGCTACTTATAATGTGGCTTACCCCACAGAGAAGCTTTATGAGACAAGAAAACACCAAGATAACCAAAAAGATGTTTGCAGAATAAAAATATATTTCAAAACTAAATGGACTTTGTCTGAAACGAAGCAGCTTGCATTTCTTAGGGGTTTTCCTACGGGCTTGGCACCAAGGACTCCTCTTAACACCCATGTTTCTTTCCTCCATCACCAGACTCTAACCCCAAAACAGCACCTTCCACTATTATACCCACAGCACCTTCCACTATTATACCCACAGCATCTAGTGCTGTAACTAGCACTTATTATAGTTTGCACACAATAAATGTTTGTAGATGAATGAATATTATGATGGATATTTATAATGAAAAAGCGCATTATTACTTTCATTAAAAAGAGTATTACTCTGAAAGCTCTTTTTCTCCATTTTGAACCTAAATCTACTTGGCCCAAGATATTATTTATGGTAGAGCTAAAAGTATGCTTTCTGATTTTATTTGCCTATTAATATATGCATTTGATAATTAACAATGTGCTAAGTAGTCAAAGCAAATAATTACTTTCCTAGTGTCTACCGCTGCATATGAGCTAAATGAGAGGGAAGCCACCTATTGCATATTAAAAAATGGTAACCAGTTTTAAAATGTGCTGCTTAATCTCAGACTACAATATTCAAAACAGTTACAGCCCTTTCACTGGCTCAGTTAAAACCCTACAAAACAGTCCAAATCTTCAGAACAGATTATGAATTCTGCCTGAGTCACACTGAATATAAAATACATGTTCGAAAGTTTGCCAATTCACATTTACAAAGTCTTCTGACCAACTGGTAGGGCTGATCATAAAAACCCAATCTTTTAATTTACAATGTGTAATTTATGCTCAGGATATTTTATTTAAGAAGCAATGTAATCGCATGGAAAGCTTTTATTTTAAATCTGATTTTGAAATATGACTGAATAGCAGGATTCAGAACAAGTTTGGTAAACATCTATGAGGACATGTTATATAATTCTAGTGAGCCCAATAATATTCTGTTTTTAAAGAGAAAAAACCCAATTTTCACCAAACTGAATTTTTTTACCAAACTGAAAAATGTTAAATTTGAAGTCTTATTTTCATGTGTCCAATAAAAGCAGAAGTTTGCTCCTGTGTGGTCCAGAGCGAGAGCTCTAGCTGATGCACATATGGGACCATATAATCCCGAAGAAACCGGTGAACTGAAAATCAGACCTTTTGGAAGTAGCATTAATCAGTCTGGTCAACATATTACCTTGCTTCACCTGAGAAAGCTTTTGAGTCCTGCTATGATTTCTAACTCCTTCTGAAGCCAAGGCATTCTGTAGTCACTTCAGTATTATGGAATCTCAGCACCCTAGGACAAGAGTCACCAAGGGTGGCCAAGTTTACAAGCAGCTAAGATTTGACCTCTCAACAGAACAGAATTCAGGACCATCCTTGTTTCTGTACCAAGCTGCTGAGATGTTCCTCACCTGTATGAAGGTATGGAACTGCCTGTCTCTGTGCTATGTAGCCCCAGACTGTTGAGGTTTTAAATTCCTCATGCTTTAATGGGCTCTTGGCTCAGAATCTGAGGCGCTCAGAATCTGAGGCTCTCAGAAGATGAGGGGTTTGCGTACGCTCACCCAGCACATCAGTGGCAGACATGGGCCGGTGTCTCAGCCACCTGAGTTGTAATTCAGGTCTTTGCCCACTGCCTTCATGTCCCCTCTTACCTGTCCTGCCTCCTGCCAGGACAGCTGCTTCACCAGGGAGGACATCACAGGGTTCTACCTGGTGGGAGTCAGTGACATGGGCGTGTCCACATACATGGCTCTGTGTAAAATACAAGCAAGCTAGGGAGGAGGGGAGGTCTGAGGGTTCTCCCCGCTGGCTACATGCCCTGGACTTGAGAGAGAGAAATTCTAGGCTGCCCTTTTTCCATTCTGGCATCTTCATTCTGGGTTTTGTTCTAGAAAGGAGGGCTACCAGAGGAGAGAGCCTCAGTGGGGAAGAACTAAGGCACCCAGGCTTCTTGCAGGGTGCCTCAGCTCCTAAAGGAGTTAGACATCACGGCAGAACTAAAAGTCTTGGTTTACAAGGTGCAGTTAGTCACAGGCAGACACCCATAGCCACTGCTGTATTTTCTACAAAGGTCTTCATCTCTGCCTCCCTGAGGGACAGGAGCACTTTGTATTTGCTTTTTAACTTGCTCACTGGACTCTATCCTTGCCTAGGAGAGGACATCAGAGCAGCAAAAAACAAAAAAGGAAGAGAGTTCTAGAAGGTATGTGCTACTGTTGTATTTCCAGCATCTCGCTTTTTTTTTTTTTTTTTTTTTTTAGAGAAACCATCCTGTTCTCCAGACCATGTGGTTGCAATGGAGCTGACCCCACACTATGGCTGCAGGTATGAGCCAGATGAGAATTGGTCTGGGACTTTGTGTGGACCACCAAGAATAAGCTACAGTCTTACTATTGTGGTTTCTATAATATAAAAAGGATATAAACCTAGAGCTCCCAGGAGCCACTATCTAGAGAGGGCCTGCATGCGAATGAAGTCAACCCAGAGGAAAGGAGAGCTCGGTGATGGAGAGATCAAGTGCTATTAATGACCTCTGAAAACCTGGATCCACCTGTACCTGAAACCCAGATATGCACCTGGACTTTACAGCCCCACGAGGCAACACATACCTTTTTTTAAAAAAAAAAATTTAATCCAGTTTAAATTGAGTTTCTATCACTTGCAACCAAAAAAGCACCAACAAATACGGGAGAAATAAAAGCGTTCAGAAGAAAGGAAACGAGAAGATTACATTTATGGATATGGTATCTGGAAGCAATTCAAGTTTGTCCCTGGAAATGCAGAAAGGTGATACGTGGGAATCTGTCCCATTTTCTGTACGAAGCTCAGATCCTCAGAACTATAGTTCTGCCTAATTACAGTGATTAATCTCGCCAAACTCTAAATATAAAATGAGTGTGCATTTTCTGATGCTCAGTGATACTGCAACAGTCACGAAGGGAAGGAATGGGCTATTACTGCATAAAGATGTCTTTGGAGCAAACTCTTTTTTCTTTCCTCCTGCCCAAATGAGGACACAACTGGCTGGAGGAGGAAAGGTCACGAGTGACAACCCAAGTCTTACCTGGCATGGCGTGGATGAGGTCACCGCACAGAACAAAGAACCTGGGTTTGGGGGTCAGCTTGTTGATGGCCTGCACGGCTTGCTCGGTGAGACGGATCTCCTGCTGCCACTCGTCACCGCCGCTGTCACAGTTCCCGGTGGACCAGGCCTTCATCAGTCCAAACTGTGGGTCTGCACCTTGGATGAAGTAGAATGGACCCTTCCATTCCCTTTCCTCTTCTTTAAAAAAAAAACAAAACAACAACAAAAAAAAACAAGAAAAGAGGAGAGAGGGAGAAACATTGTGAAATCTGCCAGGGAGAGCAACCAGGTTACCATGCAAGTGGATACAATATTTTTCTTAAATTAAGTAGGTCATTTTAATAAGCTGCTGTTCAAACATACCATTTTCCTGTCATAGTCTAGAGGATTTTGATTTATACTAATTATGCCTGGGACCCAGTGATTCCCAAAGGCCCGGAAAACGCACGTGGGCTGCTAGAGCCACGCGACCAAGCTGTTTGTTTACGAGCTAGACGGCCAAAATGAAGCACAGAGACACGACAGAATATGGTATAGAGGATATGAATGTTCAGCAATAGTTTTTTAATTAGAATTAAAAATGCCAAAAATTGAATGCTGCCAGAAGTATTATATTTAAATTACTAGGTGAAGTGAAGTAGCTTCTAAATCTTTTCTGCCAGGTTTCATGGCACCATTTGCACTGTTTCGGGGGAAAGTGACAGAATTTTAATTATAAAACTTGGCGCTCTGAAGCTCTGGCTATCTGGTGGGAAACGCAGTGCCAAAAGGAATCTCGAAACGAGTACGTGACGTTGCACAGGCAGTGTGACGTGGGCAACAGCAAGGTGTGAGGCTGGGGGTCGGGGGGGGGGCTCTTTATGTTCCTGGAGAGGGCTGTGGGTCACCTGAAAGCATCTGCCTTGCTCTTCTGGTTGGTTCTGCTGCACTGAAGCTTTGCAGGCCTCGGCTCTCTACCCTTATACCCCAGAATTGCCGCTGGTGCCTGCCTGGGCAGAGCTGGAATGGCCATTAGTGGGTATGGAAACCCTGTGGGTTTCAAACTTTTCTTTTTGGCCACAGAATCCTTTCTTCATTCAAAATCTTACATGGCAGACGGATGTTAAAAGCATGAAACACAGAGCTGTTCTTAAGCAGCAGCATCTGGAACTTCCACTGCCTAAGCTGGGTCAGGTGATGGACAGAGCACAGTCTGAGGATCTCCCATCTTCAGCCCCTGTGTTCATCTTCCAAGGAAACTGAGGTCCAGGCAGGTGACATGATTTGCTGAATGGCCCACCAGCACTTAGTGGCGGGGACAAAACTACCCTGTAACCTTGAGGCTGTTTTCTTTTTAATAAAGTACTGTATTATGCATGTTAACTGAATAAATGTCGTTTCCTTTGGAAGTCATAATGATATTATAATTTCCGAAAAGCTCCTCGGAATCATTTCATATCTGTGTGTCTGATATGTTCGTCTATTCGATAAACATCTACTGAGAGCCTGTGGTTTGCCAGGCCCCGTGCGAGGTGCTGGTGGTACAACCGGGACCACAAGGATGAGGTCCCTGCTCTCCTGGTGCTTAGTTCTTGTGCGGGAGACAGAAGGTGAATAACAGGTAAACAAGCAGGGAAGAGTCTGACAGTGCTGAGGGCCACGCAGAGAATTAAGAGTGAGGCGACGGCTAATTTAAATTAGATGGACAGGAAAGGCCTCTCTGAGGTGATGACATTTAAACTGAGATCTAAATGGCAAGAATGAGCCAGTGGTAACCTTTTAAAATTCCACGGCTACCTTCCCACCCACCCTACTGAGCTTACTATCATCTGAGAGTGGACTTTGGCATCAGGCCACCTTTCTCTTCTTAATTCCCTTTTCAGAATTTTACGAAACATGAGTACAAGCAAAAATGCCTTTCCACACATTATAGAACAAAATATACAGCACATTAACCCACCAGTCCTCAACTGACAGCACAGATGTTCGAGCGAATCACAACCAGCTGGACTCTGAACAAGGACTGCACGAAGCCCTGGGGTGTGGGTCTCACTGCGAAGGACAGAGATCCGGCACGTCCAGTAGGGGCAGATGGATCCACCCAACTCTCAACCACTCAGCCCTTACTGCGTGTCGCAGAAAGACTCTAAGACAGATCCGAAGATCCCTGCCTTGTGATCTTACATCCTTGTGCAACCCTCTCCCCTTTAGTGTAGGCTACACCTAGCAACCTGCTTCTAATAAACAGAATACAGTGATGGGATGTCCTTTCGGAGAGTAGGCTAAAAAAACCCATGAATTTCCTTCTCTCTCTTTCTCCTTTTCTCCCTTTCTCTTTCTTGGAGCCCTCACTCTGGAGGAAAAAAGCTGCCATGTTGTAAACAGTTCTATGGAGAGGCCAAGGTGGCAAGAAACACAGGGAAGCCTCTTGCCAACAGCCCACGAGGAACTGAATTCTGCCAACAACCACGTGCACGAACTTGGAAGGGAATATTCCCCCATCAAGCTTTCGGATGAGATGACAGCCCCAGCTGACGCCTTGATTGAAGCCTTATGAGAACTGCAGCAGCTGAGCTGCACCCAGATTGCTGATGGAACTTGTAAGATGCTACGTATTTGCTGTTGCAAGCTGCTAAGTTTCGGGGTAATTGGTTACATAACAGTAGTTGTCTATGAGGCAAGCACTGAAGATAAGGAGAGGAGGAGGAGACAATGAATTTCCTGAAGGTCTGAATGCTGTGTCATGAAAAAAAAAAAAATTGAGAATCTGCTTTGTGTTTTAAAGTTAATTGTTGGCATCATTTATTTAGCTTGCAATAATAACCTTTTTACACCAATGAATGCTTTTAGCTGTATTCCTATTTCTGAGGCTGTTTGCAGGGTCGTTTAAACTAGACAAATTAATCAAAACCAGATCAGGGAGGTGATTGGCACCCCAAGGCTGCAGCATAAATCCACCTTCTACGACAGAGTTTATTAACAGCTCCCTACAGCAAATGTTTTAACAAATAGTTTCCTATGACAAATAGAGTTTCAAAACATCAATAGTCCTTGGAGCTGTTAAAATAAATCTTTCATTATTACTTGTTTACTTAGTAAAAACTTAAGAATCTCAATTTTATGATGACAAGGCACAAAATAAATAGAGTCGAACTAAAATACATGACAGCTCGCCTATCAGTACTCTATCTAATTTATCTATCTAATAAGGTAATTTGCTGACTTAGGGCTCTGCATTCTCAAAAGCAGCTGGATCCTCATAAGGTTCCTGCTACAGAAGAAGCTGGTGGTCTTTGGTCTCATCTAAATTTTAATCAAGGCTGAATCAAAGATATTTGGGGCTTATTGGGATTAGTTCTAGAAGGAGGAATCTTTTGTAAGCGCACACCTGTCCCAACCCTAGAAAGGGTAGCTTTGTACATTATGAAAGTGAATTTTTAACAATATTTGCACTGAATTATTTCACTGAAGTCCAGAATTACCCCCAGGACAGGGCCTAGGTATTAGCTGAGAGATGTCTACAAGGGCCAGGGAAAGCTTGTGACACCATCCCCTCCAGGGGAAAGCAAGTATCTACCCCTGGCACAGTCCAGCATCTCTGGAAACCTTCTGGACACCCTGTTTTGGGACTTTGAGCTACGGAAGTCTGCATAAACTGAGGACCATCCCTAAAGCACCTTGGTACATGAGAGCATTTGTCATTACTGAAAAAAGACACTTAGGGATCCAGATGTTTTCCCCCCAACTTTCCTAGATAAAGACCTTAAATATGAGAGTGCCCAGTTAAATGGTAAATGCCTGACAACCCTAATCAAGGAGTGGAATTGCCTGGAAATGGAGGCTGAGGAAGAGGGACAAGGTGAGGGTTACCTGAGAGCAGCAAGGTAGCAGGCCGCTCGTGGGCACGGGGAAAGCAGGGCCAGGTTGCCATCCTCGCATCAGCATCACCTGGGAGCGTGACTGCAATGCAGAATCCCCGGCCCCAACACAGACCTATGGAGTCAGGATCTGCATTTTACCAAATCCCCAGGTGATCCGCATGCACATCCACGTCTGAGAAGCTCTGACTGCAACTAATCAAAGTACTCTACTCACCAGCAACTTAACTGCACTGGGTAAGAAACAGAAGCAGGGTGACTTTTGTTTCCTAAACTGAAATAACACATCAGAGGGGTTTTGCTGTTGTTAGTGGTGGTATATTTTTCTGTTCATTTTTAGGTTTTTGCCTTTGTTGGATATTTGGCCCCAAACAATTCTTGGTATTATTATTGACTACTATCTAGATTGCCTTTCAAAACCAAGTCAAGATTCTTTGAAAGACAAGAATGTAATCAGAAAATTCATTCTTAATTAGTGAGTTCTAACATTAGACTTTCCATGACTTTGTGGTGTACAATGAAAACACTCATGAGCACGTATGTGTACAGCCCACACACGTGTTTTCAAAAGCACAGCAGAGAGGTATGTATTTTTCTTCTGAAATTGATAAAAGAACCCAGTCAGGGGCCGGGCACAGTGGCTCACGCCTGTAATCCTAGCACTTTGGGAGGCTGAGGCAGGAGAATTGCTTAAGCTCAGGAGTTCGAGATCAGCCTGAGCAAGAGCAAGACCCCATCTCTACTAAAAATAGAAAAAATTAGCCGGGTGTGGTGGCTACTTGGGAGGCTGAGGCAGGAGGCTCGCTTGAGCCCAGGAGTTGGAGGTTGCAATGAGCTATTATGACACCACTGCACTCCAGCCTGGGTGACAGAGAGAGACTCTTTCTCAAAAAAAAAAAAAAAAAAGAAGAAGAAGAAGAAGAACCCAGTTAGTGGCCCTAATTGATAACTATGATAAAGCCAAAGTTGAATTTTGAGACAGACTTAGTACTTAGAGAGAAAAAAGAAAAGTAAGTTCATTAAATTAAGAGCTCATCTCTGACCCAGATGGTACCAAAACAAGACTGTAATCTTTAAAAAAATTTGACACAAAGCTCTGGATAATGCCTTTAGGGTATTTAGTGTTAATACACAGTAAACCATACATTTATTTAACTAAAACACTTACATCTGCTATGAATAAGAATGTCCACAATGAACTTAATTTTTTCTGTGTTAATTTTTTTAACAAATTCAAAGAGATGGTAATTTAGCTATCTGCTGCTATATAACCAATTACCACAAATGTAGCAGCTTAAAACAACCCACATTTATTATCTCATAGTCTCTGTGGGAGTCTGG